CTTAATCTTTGCTCTTTCTCTCTCTTTCTCTATCTCTCTCTCTTCCCCTTACCCCCACTTAACCTTCCTTTTCTTCTCTCTCTATTTTCTTTCTTCTCTTTCTCCCCCTCCTTTTCTATTTTCTCCTCTCCCTCTCCTCTTCCACTATCTGTTTTTTTGCCTTCCCCCCTCTCTCCCTTCCCCACCCTCATCACCACATATCGCATACCACCTACCAAACACTCCGATCTCTAGCACTAACCATGCCGGCAACGCTGACATGTCTCTCTATCAATTGTAAGGGTCTCAACAGCCCATCTAAATGCCACCAATTCCTTTGCTGGGCCAATAAATCCAAAGCAGATATCATCCTCTTGCAGGAAACCCATTACTCCAGGGACAGGCCTTGCCGCTTCTGAGCCGACACTTTTGGAGCTGCTACTTGGCAAACCCGAGCACAGGCAAACCTAATGGAGTGGCCATTATAGTTCACAAGTCCTGCCCTCTCAACATCCACCACTCAGTGGGTACATCACTGTCACAGGTTCAATAGGCCCCCATAAATATGCCTTTACGTCACTCTACACCCCAATGTCCCATGCACTCCCTTTTGGGACACTCTACAGACGCATCTATCCCTCTTTCCTTCACACCACACGATCATAGGGGGAGATTGCAATGCAGTGCTCTTCCCAAACGTAGACAGACAATGCCCTACAGCTCACACCTCCCCCAACCTCCCACGGCCAGAACAGACAAATTGCTTAAAATGTTTTTGCCTAAAACTGCACCTACTGGATGCCTGGAGGGTACAGCACCCCTCAACACTGGACTACACGTTCTTCTCCCACCCACATCACTCCCACTCAAGAATCAACCTCTTCCTGATTTTGCCACTTCTCCTTCAAGCAGTCAGGTCCACTAGCATAGGATCTATCAGGTGGTCAGACCATGCGGACATCACGATCACGATTCCCCACACCAAAAAAAATGTGGACGTGATGTCTGAACCCAGCACTCCTACATAATCCCAAAAATGACATTCTCAAATCCATTC